GAGAAAGAAAGTCCGGACTGGAACTGCGGAAGTGCGAGAGCTTCTTTGGTACGTAGGATATGGGAACCGCGGGAGAGAAGTACAAATGGGTTACACAGAGAGAAGCAGACATGGGCCTGGAGTCCTAAATCGGAAGCAAGTTGGGCTTACTGGGTAAGCATACATTTTAGGCCCAAATTAAATCATACTGGCAGAAACGATGGCCCTTATCGGAATCCTTTTCCTCCTCGTCGTCGGGGTTTCTACCGGCAGGCAGAAGGGTTTTATTTCATTTATTTGTATCTGCAAATTCGTTCAATTGGAGAAAGTTCAGATCCTTTGCTGGCTTCCGGCAGATCTCTTCTTCCAGTTGGCGGGCGGGTGTTTCCCTTGATTTGCATTCATTCCACCGATCTGCTCGTCGGTTCCTGCAGCTTCTGCTTACTTCTTCAACTCCCTTCTTCTTCCTATTCGCCGTTTAAATGATGAGAAGGACTCCAAAAGGGCAAAAAGTTTGTGTCTTTTGATCCTCTTTCTGTCTCCTTCCAAAGGGTATAAGTCTTATTGCCTGCCGAATCCAATACCAGTGACAGGAAAGAGAAAGCTCCGCAGGTCTGGTTCCTCATGGCAACATCCCGGTGTGATGAAGTCTAAGGTTAGTTTGATTAACATCCATCTTTTCTTCAGCTTTGTTTCCCCAACTCTTTTGTTAGTTACTTTAACATTCAGCCTAGGCAAGAAGTGCAATGGACTCTCTAGATTTCTTAGTTATTATGACTTATGAGCATTATTAGTCTTAAATCTATTCATCATGTGTCATGTGCCACTGCTGCATCCTCTTGCTGCTTTCTTTTTCGTTTCCTTGCTGTGCTATGCACAAATTGAGCCTTCCATGGATTTTCGATTATCAATGCAGTAACTTTAATGTTTTGTTTTTGTTGTGGGTGTTGAAGCTAGAGAGCAGTAGAATGCCTTCCTATAACACAGATGATCGAATCAGTACGCTGCCTGATGATATCCTCCACCTAATATTGTCTTTCAGGGTTAAACCTCTCAATAGCAACTTACCATCCTCAGTGTAAAAGTCAACATATGCCGCCTCAGAGTATTCCAATGCTTTCTACTAGACACCTCTTCCATTCCTATTCAGAGTTGCTGACTGAAAGAATGGAGACAGAGAAGTGGGTTCTGATTCCATCTTTCCCTTTCGCCAGCTCCAATCACAGAGCTTCCGTCTGCTTCTTCTAGACCAAGACCTCCATTATCGGATCGAAAAAAAAGCCGTTGTGCGACTAATTGCCGCCGGCGATTTGTCCCTGCTCCGTTCTCTCCACAGTACGTTCTTCTTTTAAAGTCAGTAGCTTTTCCTTCTTCTTGATCCCCTTTCCCGTCTGGTAATGATAGTAATGCAAAGGGTTCTGCTTTTACTAGGAAGGGAAGGTACAAGTTACTGAATCTTCAAAAACATGGCAAGTCAAAGGCTTTTACAAGGATATAGGAGAGGCATCCACATAAGTAGAACTGGAGTATCATCAGATGAGGAAATGGCCAAAATGATTGCTGAAAAGCTGAACAAATCAGGGTTAAGAGATGTTCGAGCCATGATGCCATCTCTGTGTTCTAATCTGAATCATGAAGTCACCTCCTTGGTACTCTCAAACCCTGATGTTTCCCCTCGTTCTTGCTTGTCTTTCTATGACCTTTTGGCAAATGATGAGTCTTTTACTGCTCAAAAACCTGACGTTGAAGCCAGCATCGTCATTCTTTTGAGACTATTCAAGGACAGGAAGTTTGTGGACATGAAGAATGTGTTGACTAGGATTGCATCAGATGATGTTAGGTTCCCAGTTGCTAGTTGGGTATCTATGAACAGTGGAAAATTAAATGAAGATTGTTTTAGGGAGAAGCTGTATGACATGCTGTTTAGAGTCTATGCTGATGCAAGGATGTTCGAAGAGGGCCTTGAGGTTTTTGATTACATGATAAGTAACGGGTTGAAGATTGACGAGAGATCTTGTATCGTCTATCTGCTTGCTTCGAAGAGATGCGACAGAATGGAGATGTGTTCAGTACTATTCAGAAAGATGGTTAATTCTAATATGGAGGTTAGTGTTTACTCTTTGACCATTGTGGTTGATGGGTTGTGTAGAAGAGGTAGGGTTACAAGGGCTAAAGAATTAATGATTGAGATGGCTGAGGTGAAAGGAATTAAGCCGAATGTCATTACCTACAATACCATTTTGAATGGATATGTGAAAATAAGGGATTCTGCCGGCATTGAAGAGATCTTGAGATTGATGGAGACGGATGAAGTTGCTTATAATGCCGCTACATATACCATGTTGATTCATTTCTTTGGTGACAGCGGTAAGGCGGAGAAAGCTGAGAGGTTGTTCAAAGACATGAATGAAAGAAATGTCGAAGTGGATATTCATGTGTATACGTAGATTCTCAGCTGTAATTGTAAAGTTGGGAACCTGAAAAGGGCTTTTGCTTTGTTTGATGAGCTCGGCGAGAGAGGTCTTGCTCCCAGTACTCACACATATGGGGCCTTGATTGATGGTGTCTGCAAGGCTGGCCAGATGGAGGCAGCTAAGATCTTGCTATCCAGAATGCAAAGCCAAGGGTTAGACATGAATCTGCTGATCTTCAACACTCTTATTGATGGTTATTGTAAAGCAGGTATGATAGATGAGGCTTTAAGAGTAAAGGGTACAATGGAAAAGAACGGATTCAAGGCGGATAACTATACACATAACATTATTGCTAGTGGCCTGTGTAAATTGAACAAGCTTGATGATGCGAAGAACTGGTTGTTTGCAATGATCGAAAGAGGTGAAATACCAAATTCAGTGAATTTCACCACTCTGATCAACATCTACTGCAAAGAGAGGAATATCCTGGAAGCGAAGAAGCTGTTCAAGGAGATGAAGAAGAAATCAGTGAACACTACAGCACAATTCGAGAATCAGTTTCAGTACCCCCACTATAGCCCTCAGGAAGGCTCTAACAAGGCAGAGCTATGATTAGGCAATCAACCACCCGAGGCCTCACATGGATTTGGATAAATGCTTCAATGCAGCAACGATCGACAAGGTTCCAAACAATGTAAGCCAGGGACCAAGGGAAAAAGGAAAATATGGCTTTCACAGAGCTGCTGAATTTGGATGTTAAGACAAGTACTACATAGTATCAGAATCGAAAGAAGGAAGTCGAAACCAAAAAAGGAAACCCTAGCAGGCCACTCCTCATCTCTCCGTTATCAAGGGCTTCTCTCTCGGCCCTCATCCAACGCATTCAACTTATACTAGCACTGGGAACAGTCTCAACACCTAGCCATCGTCTGGTTCTTTCTATTCCTAGGAGACATTCTACCGTTTCTCATTCATTTCACCATCTTGCGAACCTCACAGTCTAAATTGGGCGTGAGCAGAAGCATCTAAGCCATATGGAAAACCAAACAAGAACTGGCGACAAAAAACAAGTAGGTCGATAATCAATAATTTGAAATCCGCCTAGCTCCCATGGCAACATGAGGGGAAGAAAAACAATAGTTACCATGAAGAACCGAGCGCAGAGAAAGAAAGTCCGGACTGGAACTGCGGAAGTGCGAGAGCTTCTTTGGTACGTAGGATATGGGAACCGCGGGAGAGAAGTACAAATGGGTTACACAGAGAGAAGCAGACATGGGCCTGGAGTCCTAAATTGGAATCAAGTTGGGCTTACTGGGTAAGCATCCATTTTAGGCCCAAATTAAATCATACTGGCAGAAACGATGGCCCTTATCGGAATCATTTTCCTCCTCGTCGTCGGGGTTTCTACCGGCAGGCAGAAGGGTTTTATTTCATTTATTTGTATCTGCAAATTCGTTCAATTGGAGAAAGTTCAGATCCTTTGCTGGCTTCCGGCAGATCTCTTCTTCCAGTTGGCGGGCGGGTGTTTCCCTTGATTTGCATTCATTCCACCGATCTGCTCGTCGGTTCCTGCAGCTTCTGCTTACTTCTTCAACTCCCTTCTTCTTCCTATTCGCCGTTTAAATGATGAGAAGGACTCCAAAAGGGCAAAAAGTTTGTGTCTTTTGATCCTCTTTCTGTCTCCTTCCAAAGGGTATAAGTCTTATTGCCTGCCGAATCCAATACCAGTGACAGGAAAGAGAAAGCTCCGCAGGTCTGGTTCCTCATGGCAACATCCCGGTGTGATGAAGTCTAAGGTTAGTTTGATTAACATCCATCTTTTCTTCAGCTTTGTTTCCCCAACTCTTTTGTTAGTTACTTTAACATTCAGCCTAGGCAAGAAGTGCAATGGACTCTCTAGATTTCTTAGTTATTATGACTTATGAGCATTATTAGTCTTAAATCTATTCATCATGTGTCATGTGCCACTGCTGCATCCTCTTGCTGCTTTCTTTTTCGTTTCCTTGCTGTGCTATGCACAAATTGAGCCTTCCATGGATTTTCGATTATCAATGCAGTAACTTTAATGTTTTGTTTTTGTTGTGGGTGTTGAAGCTAGAGAGCAGTAGAATGCCTTCCTATAACACAGATGATCGAATCAGTACGCTGCCTGATGATATCCTCCACCTAATATTGTCTTTCAGGGTTAAACCTCTCAATAGCAACTTACCATCCTCAGTGTAAAAGTCAACATATGCCGCCTCAGAGTATTCCAATGCTTTCTACTAGACACCTCTTCCATTCCTATTCAGAGTTGCTGACTGAAAGAGTGGAGACAGAGAAGTGGGTTCTGATTCCATCTTTCCCTTTCGCCAGCTCCAATCACAGAGCTGCCGTCTGCTTCTTCTAGACCAAGACCTCCATTATCGGATCGGAAAAAAAGCCGTTGTGCGACTAATTGCCGCCGGCGATTTGTCCCTGCTCCGTTCTCTCCACAGTACGTTCTTCTTTTAAAGTCAGTAGCTTTTCCTTCTTCTTGATCCCCTTTCCCGTCTGGTAATGATAGTAATGCAAAGGGTTCTGCTTTTACTAGGAAGGGAAGGTACAAGTTACTGAATTTTCAAAAACATGGCAAGTCAAAGGCTTTTACAAGGATATAGGAGAGGCATCCACATAAGTAGAACTGGAGTATCATCAGATGAGGAAATGGCCAAAATGATTGCTGAAAAGCTGAACAAATCAGGGTTAAGAGATGTTCGAGCCATGATGCCATCTCTGTGTTCTAATCTGAATCATGAAGTCACCTCCTTGGTACTCTCAAACCCTGATGTTTCCCCTCGTTCTTGCTTGTCTTTCTATGAACTTTTGGAAAATGATGAGTCTCTTACTGCTCAAAAACCTGACGTTGAAGCCAGCTTCGTCCTTCGTTTGAGACTATTCAAGGACAGGAAGTTTGTGGACATGAAGAATGTGTTGACTAGGATTGCATCAGATGATGTTAGGTTCCCAGTTGCTAGTTGGGTATCTATGAACAGTGGAAAATTAAATGAAGATTGTTTTAGGGAGAAGCTGTATGACATGCTGTTTAGAGTCTATGCTGATGCAAGGATTTTCGAAGAGGGCCTTGAGGTTTTTGATTACATGATAAGTAACGGGTTGAAGATTGACGAGAGATCTTGTATCGTCTATCTGCTTGCTTCGAAGAGATGCGACAGAATGGAGATGTGTTCAGTACTATTCAGAAAGATGGTTAATTCTAATATGGAGGTTAGTGTTTACTCTTTGACCATTGTGGTTGATGGGTTGTGTAGAAGAGGTAGGGTTACAAGGGCTAAAGAATTAATGATTGAGATGGCTGGGGTGAAAGGAATTAAGCCGAATGTCATTACCTACAATACCATTTTGAATGGATATGTGAAAATAAGGGATTCTGCCGGCATTGAAGAGATCTTGAGATTGATGGAGACGGATGAAGTTGCTTATAATGCCGCTACATATACCATGTTGATTCATTTCTTTGGTGACAGCGGTAAGGCGGAGAAAGCTGAGAGGTTGTTCAAAGACATGAATGAAAGAAATGTCGAAGTGGATATTCATGTGTATACGTAGATTATCAGCTGTAATTGTAAAGTTGTGAACCTGAAAAGGGCTTTTGCTTTGTTTGATGAGCTCGGCGAGAGAGGTCTTGCTCCCAGTACTCACACATATGGGGCCTTGATTGATGGTGTCTGCAAGGCTGGCCAGATGGAGGCAGCTAAGATCTTGCTATCCAGAATGCAAAGCCAAGGGTTAGACATGAATCTGCTGATCTTCAACACTCTTATTGATGGTTATTGTAAAGCAGGTATGATAGATGAGGCTTTAAGAGTAAAGGGTACAATGGAAAAGAACGGATTCAAGGCGGATAACTATACACATAACATTATTGCTAGTGGCCTGTGTAAATTGAACAAGCTTGATGATGCGAAGAACTGGTTGTTTGCAATGATCGAAAGAGGTGAAATACCAAATTCAGTGAATTTCACCACTCTGATCAACATCTACTGCAAAGAGAGGAATATCCTGGAAGCGAAGAAGCTGTTCAAGGAGATGAAGAAGAAATCAGTGAAACCCACTCTTGTTACTTACAATGCTCTGATTGACGGATGCTGTAAGGAAGGCAAGATCCATGAAGCTTACAAGCTAAAAGAAGAAATGGTGGCTGTGGGATTTTTACCAGACATATACACATATACCTCGCTCATACACGGGGAATGTATTTCTGGAGACGTGGATAAAGCACTGCAACTGTTGAGTGAAGCTCGTGAAAGTGGTTTGACGATCAATATGGTCACTTACACTGCAATTGTTTCGGGCCTGTCCAGGGAGGGCCGTTCTGAAGAAGCTTTTAAATTGTACGACGAGGCTATGGAGACTGGAATGACTCCTAACAACAGATTGTACGCATCACTTGTTGGCAGCCTTCACCAAGTTCCGAACTCTTAAAGCATTTGAAAGGTGAATGAATTCAGTTTTACCTACTCAGTCTTTCGTATCAAGGAGCCATTCGATCCAGCGATTCTACTTGGAAATGACATGTATCTGATCTTGTGTATGCATTCTGCAGGAATGTAAATGCGCTGCGTTAATCGACGTCACAACCATTCTCTTACTGAAGTATAATCGTAACGGTGAGTGATGTTGAACTCAAAATTAAGAAAGCAAAGATGGCTGCTTCAACGGATACCCACATTACATTACATATAGAAAGTTACATAAACAACAAACACTTAAATCTTGATTCCCTGTCCGATCTCAATAGCTATATGAAGATTCCAAGCCATGGATCACTCACTGAACCGTCTCAACTGCTGCTCAAACGCTGCTGCGAAAGCATCCATTTCACCCTTGCTCAGCGCCAACCCGAACTCAATCCCGCCTTTCTCCTTATCCCTGGCGTCCGAGAAATAAACCGAGCCAGAGAAATCGACATGAACCGGCTCCGACTTCCTCGGATTCCCCCACCCGAAATCGGTTTCGTAGACCCCAAGCTTCGGCGACCCAGCTACCGACAGGATGTTCCCCTGTTTCATTATTTCCTGCCATCCTGAAAGCGAGAAAAACTTCTCCGCGCTCCTCAACAGTCCCTCAGCTTCCATCTCCCTGATCTTCGACGCGATTACTCTGGCTGCAATTGCAAACCCGTTGCCTCCGATCAAATCGCTTCGCTTCACCAGCACCTGGATTCCCGACAGACAGTTGCCGGATTAAGTCGCCGGGAGTTTGGGTTTGAGGCGCCCCCTGCAATCCACCAGAATTACGTAGCAATCAATGTGATCCTCCCCTGAATTGAATTTGTCGCTGCTGGCAGCGACGAATTCGGGTTCTCGGGATCTCGTCAAACTGGTCCACAGAAGGGCACTCGCCACCGTAAACGCTGACGCCGGCGTCGACTGTTTGCTGCTGCCATTGTGGTTGGCCAGAGAAGCTTTCATCCTCTTAATATGCTCGCCGTCAATCCGGAACGTGGCGCGGACCTTGTTGGCGAGCATACGCCGGCGGGAATCCTCATCCCAATGCGATGCATAGTTTCCTATGGTTTTCAGAAGCGAATTCTCGAGCTCTGTATGCTCCTCGATCAGCTCTCGGTCGTGGCAAGGCGGAGACTTTGCGACCCAGCTCAAGTCCCCGCCACCGGACTTGCAAATTGAAGCCCAGGATTTCACGAAATGGTTGAAAGCCAGCCCGTCAGCCGCCACATGGCGAAACTCGAACCCGATGCAGATGCCGGAGTTCGGAAACAGAGTGACCTTCACGGCGAGAAGCGGGGACGAGGTTTCGCCCTCCGAATTCGGTCTGTCGTCGGGAGGAAGTTTGGGCAGCAGAGGGTGGAGCAGTTCGACGTCGCTTGGCAGGTCGGAGATGACACGGTCGAATTGGAGACCGGTCTCGGCGACGGTGAGCGAAACAGAGTCGCCGTCAGAGTAAAATATGCGAGCCCTCTCGTCGGAAAGCGTCGGGGTGACGAGCCGGGCGGTGAGAGGGTAGAAATGAATAAGCGCCAGGGAGAGGGAATCGGCGAGACTGGGGATGGTTGTTTGCCGGAAATGGGAACTGGAATGCGGGAAATCGTAGAAGAAGACTCTCTGAATCGGATGGCAGATTATCCACGATATGTCGAACAGGGTTAGCCGGAGGGAAGTAGCGGGAACTGAGCCCCGTGGCGGAGAGATTCGCATCTCGTCGACCGTTACGACGGAGCTGGCATGTTGTTGCGACATTTTTTTGCAGTGGAAGATACAATGCATGATCTGATTTCAGCATTGGAACTTCATATAGGTGGGGAGCAATGGTGGAAGCAGATCAAAGGATCCGGCGGAGATTTAGACGTTCTGTTTGTTTATGTTCGGATCGTAGTGCGTAAAGCTTTCGACATGGATCGTATTGCTAACAGTCAAAAGGATGTTGTTGTTGCCAGGTATCTATGCTGTCCGGATTTAGAGGTGGAATCTGGGAGGCCGTCAATTCATCCCTCAACTTCTTCTGTTCATCATGTCAATTTGTTGGTACTGTTTTGTTTTTTTTTTTTGTTCTTGACACAAGTTCAAAGGGGGAAAATTACAACGATTGTCGCACGCAAACATCGTTAATTGTGGTGACTTATTGAGGTCGACCTGAGAATCGAACGATCAACCATTTCGTTGAAGAGGCCGACCTTTCGTATTATAGGTATGCATATCTAGTCACCTCAATTTCTCCAAACAAGCATTGCCAAGGTAGAGTGAGGTTTGAACAAGTACTCATCAATCCCCCAACAGTTGAGACGGACCGGAAGCGGAGCGAGCGAGCGAACCTCCGGAAGCCGGACGAGGGATGTTACCGGTGACAACCTCTCCGGGAAGCCAATTGGCGGCCATAGCTGTAAAAGATACACCAAACGCAGAAAGGAATTGCACCAGCTGGGGAAAAGGGGTTACACACTGTAACAGTGAGTCAGCGGCTGACACTGAACGCCATGGCAAATAGTGGTGTTTGGGCTTTCGGTGGTGTTTGGGCCGGCTCACTACCGATCCATGAAAGGCCTTTTTCTTCCATTACGGGTCCATCTGGCTTTGTTTTCGGCCAGGCATAATAAAGTCAACCCTTTACCGAGAGACAAACTATAATGAAAGTCAACCCTTTGCCTCTTCAACGGATGCCTTGAAAAAATCAAAATTTTTAAGTGGTCTGTGCTGATTTGGCTGTGACATGGTGTGTTACCGTTAGTCAACGTGTTTGACCGTCCAAAATATATAACGGTCGAACATCGGATTTTGTTCAATATGCCCTATTGATTGGATTGAGATTGTCAATTAGGCCTCCAACTTCTATTAAGCTTAATTACACTTCTACTACTATGTAATGGACATATTGAACAGCTTAATGTTGGTCCGGTGGCGCGCGCCTTCTTTTTCTTTAAAAGGGGGTTTTTGCACCTGCAATTTCACGAAATTGGATATCTGGAATTTGCTAGGGTTCTTTCGAACCTGGTTAGAAGAAAATGGAAAACAAACGTTTTGATCTGAACACTTGACCTAGCACTCTCCACTTCTAGTTTTACCTCACGTGTATAGATACTCAGATGGGCTTTGGCTTAAGGACTAAAGCCCACAATCTTATTTAATTTCGGTTTCCTTACTGGCCCACTCAAACTCGTTCCTGAGCCCGTCTGTTTAATCCTAGCAGCTAAGGCCAACGCTGTCGTTTTCCCTAAACAACTATCAGAGGTTTACTTTGAGACTTAACGGATCACAGCACCTTACTTGGCCAATTTGAGTGATGAACAAAAACAGAGATGTGCAGAAATCTTAGAAACAGAGTAAACAAAGACACAGCCAATTTTTATGTGGTATCCAGTGTTGAGAGAAAAGAGTATCTCAATACTGACTAATCCACGGTCAGTGATTCACTAATCCGTGATCACTGACGTTCCACTAAGGATATGTTCTTGAAGAGCAGAGTACAAAGTACAGAGCTTCCCTGATCAACCTTCTCGGACTGATCAGATTCTAATCGTGATCAACTTCCCGTTGATGACTCAGTCTACCCAGATCAACTCCCTGTCGACCTGCTCGAGCAATCTCCCCGATCACTCAACCACTTCTCTATCAATCTGTTTACAGCAACTCTCCTGCTATTTTCACTCGATTGATCTCCGAAAAGTATATCCTCTAATCTAACCTCCTTTGCTTTATACTGATTTCAAAGCTAGCCGTTGCTGCATTCAAGTTTCCGCCTTGCTGTGAAATCTTCAGATTTGGTAACTCCTTGATTTCGAGATTTGGCTTTCCTTCTGCTTGATTTGTCTTTCCATCTTACTCGTTCTCTTCCTTTCTTGCACTGCACGTTCCCTATTGACTGGCTTGATCCCAACAGTCTCCCCCTAAGCCGGTCAATGGCCCTTATCTGATGTTCCTGTTGTTCCTACACACTTAAACACACAGATTACGTGCAGACTGTTCCAGCTTAAAATAAGTCAGACAATAGTCAGTTGAACAGAAGAGGGAGTTTTATTTATTTCATGAGTTAAAGACAAATTGAAGGGAAGTTACACCACCCTGACTCTTGCTCAGCCGACGCTAGGCTATATTGAATGGAAAGACACTGAACCTCTACTAACGAACTGACTCATGCTCAGCAGAAGCTTAAGCTTTATTGAAGGATAAGACACTGAACTCTAATCAACTGACTGACTCAACTATTAACTCCCCCTGAACCCAGGACCTACCTAGAAGAGGTAAGGTGGTGAGGGTACATAATCAGAGATATCGCCTTCGCTTCCTTCTGGTTCCTCCTGAGGATGGCCACTAGTACTAGCCTCATTGTCATGATTGTAGAATTGACGGATAAACTCTAAGGATCCAACACAACTTTCTGCTTCCCTTTGCCAGAAATATCCTCAACTAAGTCTGCAAGACTAAGCCCATCTTCTGGAGTAGGAACAACGTCATCAGCATCAACGTTGTCTCCCCCTGGGACATTGACCCGGGGTGCACGACGACCGACAGAAGCATCCACTTTGCGCAGAACAAACTGTGCGCGAAGAGAGTTAAGCATGTCCACACGAGCAACTTTGAACCTGAGATCAATCCCTAATGCCAACAAAATCTGAGTGATTTGAGGTGCAAACGGGAGCTCGGCTTCGAAGTTGTCAGCATGATAGTTCAGCATATGGTCGAACATCAAGTGTGGATAGCTAATAACCCGATTTTCCTTGGCACTAGCAAGGATCCATAAATCCGAAGGATAAATGGTATTGAGGCCAAAAGAGCGAGGTAAGAACAGCCGAGTTATATAAAAATGCAGCACCTTGAGGTCATCAGGAAGTCTTCCAGAATGAAATTCCGAAGGATAATAACGTCCTGTATCACGAGTATACAGTCGCAGGGCATCGCCTTCGTTGAACTCAACTGAATGAAAGTCAAGCTCATTCATGACTTCTGCTCCAGAGACAGGGATCCCCAGGAGCAACGAAATCAACTCCACATTCAGAGTAATCAGATAATTATACACTATGGTGGTGAAGCAGGGTGGAGAGACGTGGAGACACGGCTTCATGTTCGCATAGAACATACGAACAGCTTCTGGTCGAAACCCAAAGTTTCGATTAGGGAGTATGTCTCCCCAGCCTAAGGTATTGATCAGGCGAGGGATATTCATCCCATACCTGTTGAATTTGGATGGATCCAGGGTGATGGAAGGATGGAGAGGGCGATCTTGGTACTGAAGGAGATAGCGAGTATATCCTGCTGCGTCCTCGAATCCTTTCCCATTAAAGATGGCAGCCTGAGCCAGCTTCAAGGGTGCCACATGCTGAAGAGACGCAGCCATTGGTTTGTTTTGGGAAGGGTTAAGATATGTTGGGCGGATGCTAGAGGACTAGAGATCGTCAGCTTATATAGGGGAGGCGAGGTTCACAAGCAGAAGGGAAGGATTTTGAAAGAAGGTAACTGGAGCCTTGTTCCTAAAGTAAAGGGAGTCCTTGAATGAACAGCTCACAGTACACAGAAAAGAAATGGAATATACGATCCTAAAGATATGAAGAGATGAGACACGAAGGGAAAGTGAATATCTGCTGTGGGTGTACAAGAAAAAGGCAAGTCTTGGAGCTAAAGAGTAGCGGAAAAGACCCGAGGAAGACTGGTGAATTCAGGAAGGAGAGCATTCAATGCAGATTCTCAATCTCGATCCAGGAAAACATTGCTAGTTCTCGATGGATATGGAGAAACGGTTCAGATCCTAAGGGCTTGGTAAAAATGTCGGCCCATTGACTTGTAGAAGGAACGAACTCGAGACTGATTTGACGATCCTCAACTAACTCCCTAATGAAATGATAACGAATGTCTATGTGTTTGGTTCTGGAGTGCTGAACAGGATTTTTGGTCATGTTTATGGCACTAGTGTTGTCACAAAGTACTACTAGAGTTTTTTGACAAACACCATAGTCAAGGAGCTGATGTTTTAGCCATAGCAGCTGTGTACAACACAGACCTGCTGCCACATACTCAGCTTCTGCTGTAGACAAGGCTACGGAAGCTTGTTTCTTGCTAAACCAAGAAACAAGTGAATTTCCAAGGAACTGACATGTTCCAGTGGTGCTTTTCCTATCAACTATGCACCCAGCAAAATCTGAATCACTGAACCCTGAGAGATTTAGAGAAGATTCACGAGAATACCACAATCCAAGGTCAGGAGTGCCAGCTAGATAACGAAAAATCCTTTTGACAGCTGAAAGATGGCTTTCTTTGGGACAATGTTGAAATCTTGCACACATACACACGCTAAACTGAATGTCAGGTCGACTTGCAGTAAGATACAATAAAGACCCGATCATTCCTCTATAAAGTTTTTCACACACAGGTTTGCCAGCCTCATCTTTGTCCAACTTAGCAGAAGAGGACATTGGGGTAATGGCTGTTTTTAGATTACCAAGGTCAAAACGGTTTAGCATGGAATTCAGATATTTTGATTGACACAGAAATGTCCTAAGAGAAGACTGTCTGACTTGAAGCCCAAGAAAGTAGGTTAACTCACCCATGAGACTCATTTCAAAGGTGTTTTTCATGCACGTTTCAAACTCACGACACATTTGTTGACTTGTAGACCCAAACACTATGTCATCTACATAGACTTGCACTAGCAGAATATCTGACTGGTTTGTTTTAACGAACAATGTTTTGTCTACTGAACCTCTTTTGAA